TCCGCCCTCCAGAGGATCTGCAAACTATCTATGGTGCAACGCTTATTTTTTTAGGCAATCAAGACCAGTCGACGGGCAAGGACACGGATATATATTCTGCTTATATTTAAAGCTTCCTACCTCTGCGTTGGCAAGACTGAGATCTAGGCAATGGATGAAGTAGATATGCATACAGCTTGATAAACGAGGGTTGTTTGCATCCTGACTTGACGAGGCATTGCACTTTGTTAAGTATTTATTTTTAATTAGCATTTACTAGTAGTTAAGAGAACGGCATAATGCGGGAATCAGTTTAAATGACATGGCAAAGATATGGTTTTATCCTTCATTTTATTTGAGATGGCGAGGAAAAATCCAATTTCTTCTCATATCTGCGCGGTAAACACCATTTTTTCTTTAGATTTGGATGGATTGAGTTTAAAGACCCTATTCTGGACTGTACTATACATTCCCGCTAAACCCATTTTTGTCCTTCTTTTGCGTTTGTTACTCATTAATCAAACGGCGATAGTTGATGCATATTAGGTAGGCATGTAGAGCCGATTACATGACATTCTCTGACGACTGAATAAAGGCCTAAATTGTTCCTAACCAAGTTATCACCTTAACAGCTAATTAACCTGATAGTTCATCACAGATCCACTCAAAATCCAGAATCAGAAGGAAAGCTATATTTGGCTCTAAGACATCTAAGACATACTCTCTTAGCCAGTATTTAGGTCTCATTAGAGCTCCGTTCAAAGTAACTAGGAACTTATATGCTTAGTTTTACTTAATAACCTAAAAATGCAACTCTTATACACCTATTGATGTAATAAAGTTTTCACAATTCGTAGATTGAAGTCATGCTTTTCCTTTATATAAGATGTGTTCATCCTATTTCATCTAAAGTGTTAAAGGATAGTTAGTTAAATTTTCACACGATGATATGAATAGAGCTGGCGTTTCCGTTTAATTTCGCATAGCCTTGCTTTCCCAAAAGGTGTTTTCATCCAGTGTGGATGGCAGTATCGACCTTGCCTAGGCTTCATCAGCACCCCTAGTGGGACTCAAACCATGTTAGTAATCTCAACACGTTAACCACAATGCCACATTGCCACGAGTGCCCTTGGGTCACAGGGCAGATGCGAATTTCAAGGAAAGCCAAGAATTTTCTTATATCACATTCTTTGGTGGGATTGTAGATAAGGCAAAATTATATTTGCCATAACAATCGACTACATTACTTATTTTTCGTTTATAAGTAGGGTTTCGAAACTACCAGTAAATCAGTTATATGGGATTTACACATCTCATATAACTTTGTTTCATCGATAATTCCACCAAACAATGTGATTTTGGAAAAGTCCTGGCTTTCCTTAAAGTTCTCATCTGCCCTGTCACCCTAGGACACTTATGGAAATGTAACATAGTGGTTAAGATGTCGAGATTACACGCTACGCTTTAATAGTTCAGGTCCCCCTGAGGGTGTTGATAAGACCTAGGCGAGGTCGAAACTGCAGTCGCGTCCAGCCTGAATGGGAACACCTCTTGGGAAAGCAAGGCCATGTGCAATTCAATGGAAGCGTCAGCTTTACTAATATCATTGTGGGCAAATTAAGTTACCAGTCCCTTATCATCTTAGACGAAGTAGGGTGAATACATCTCATATAACTGATTTACTAGTAGTCTCGATACCCTACTTATTAACGAAAAATGCTTTCTTTTTGTTTGCCTCGTCATGATCCTATAAGGCTTTTCCATTGAGGGTCCCAGTGAGGCCAGAATCGACTGCACAGACAACGGCGATGGCTCGGCAACCGTATCTTACTGGCCGACGGTACCTGGAGAGTACGCTGTTCACATTCTCTGCAACGAAGAGAATATACCAAAGTCACCTTACATAGTCCCAATAGAACCAGACATGGGTCGATGTGATCCAGAGAGGGTAAATACTATTCAATTATGTAGAAATGGAGGAGTATATGAAGTCATATGCATTAAAAGTTATTGAATTCTAATTTTAGAGGTGCGAATATCTACAATGTGTGCCCTTTTTTCACAGCTGAAACTTTTTTATAGTAATACGATAGGGCCTATTTCACAAATATATGCAAGATTTTTGCGAATTTTAACTATTATAAGCAAGATAAAAGAATAAAAAAGCATGCATAGACTGAGAAATGTCATATTAGTGCGAGAAAATTGAAAAAAAGGATGAAGGACTTGCCCGTACAGAAGAACCCATGAAATAAGAATTATCGAGATGCCTAATAAATAATTTAATGCTTGCAATCATTAAACTTGATTTTGCATTGGCTTTTCATGGTCTATGACAGCGATTCCCAAACTGTGCGCCACGGCCTCTTTACAGAGGGGCCTCGAAATATTGTAAAAGCTTCAATTTGACAAAATGTGTAGTGATTTGCAAGCTCATCCCTTAATTAAATTTTAATTAAATGTTAATAAAGTAAAAAAATAATGAAGATACACGAGTTTTATTTTTTTATCTCTTACTTACGAATAGTCATACTTAGGGTAGGGCGCCATGGAAAAATTTTAATTGAAAAAGGGCGCCGCGACTAGGAAAAGTTTGGGAACCACTGGTCTATGCTAACAGAAAATGTAAGCTCTATCTACTAATTGTCTTAGATCGCAATGTTACTTCAAGGCTTGATACTGCATTCCAGATTTTTTTTTAATTTCATAACTAAATAAAAGTAAAAATATACTCCTGGCATATATTATTTATCCTCTTTACTAATCCCTCCAGTTATTTCTACCTTTAACCATAGGCCGTCCTGAATCGCAGTCGTTTTTATTGGTTCCTATAGCACTGGAAACGTCCTTCTCGGGAGCTTTGAGCAAGTGATCTAGCGTTTTTCTTTAGCTATAGAAGCTCAAAGACAGGTCCTAGACACCGGTATCTTTAAATATTATTTGGTATACTCTTCGCTTGGCCTCTAGATAGGCTACGACATTTGTATTTTGAAATACAACGCATATAAATTTAATTGCCTTAGTTGCTTAGTCTGGCCTTGAGTTAACCAGTCGACTACAACAAATTTATGCCTCAGGTTACAGATTATATGTCATTAGAGATTGTATTCATATTTGATTTAGTCAATGAACTTTAATAGAATTGAGGGAATTTGTTTTACTGGGCCTATTTGGAGACCGAAGCAGACCTATATTATGACCAATTGTACTTGAATTTACAGTCTACTTATTTCATTTTATAGTAGTAAAGTTTTAAACCTTTGTGTTGGTCTCGGCTTACTAATCGAAATGGCTGGGAGTATATTTCACATTCCTGTTAAACCGTATATTGGTCTGTCGGGATAGGCCTCAGTGGAAATACTTATCTCATCATTAAACTTCCTAAACCATGACAATTATTTTCTGTGATTTCCTGTTCAGGCTAAAGCGTACGGTCCTGGCATAATGCCAACTGGTGTAGTCGCAGGTCAGCCTACGGAGTTCACCGTAGATATTCGAGACGCCGGTGGACCAGCACCACTTACCGTGGAGTGCCGAAACAATGAAGGAGAACCGGTGCCCCTAAAAGTTCGAGATAATGGCGATGGTACCTACACGTGCCTGTATACACCAACGGTGCCAAAAAAGCATACGGTTCTAGTTTCCTTCGGAGGAGTCAACATACCACGGAGTCCCTTCAGAGTAGGTGCTTTTTTATGAAATCTTCTCAGAGTATAAAGCATATTAGGATACGTCGAGATTTTGACTTTTGCAAAGATGTATGATCTTCTTAACTCAGCGGGTTAGGTTCTGAGGAGTTTAAACCCAATGGAATTGTTATGCAGGTGCCTCTGGTTCAAGGATCTTTAAACGACAGTCAAAATAACAGTCTTCAATTTCAAATGTTGACCTATTGTATTTCATTTTTTTAGCTTGAAGACCATTATTGAGCAAAAACCCTGTCAAACCAAGCAATCGATTTTGGCTTAGAAGCAGACAGGGTTGGAAATAATGCCTTTATTACATGTACCATTGCCATCAGTACTAT